CTTTTTCTGCTTATGTGGTGCTGAGGAATCGAACCCAGGGCCTCATGCATGCAAGGCAAGCACTCTACCACTGAGCCACCTTCCCAGCCCCCAGTCTTACTTCTTGATAATTACAATTATTTTAAATTCCAAACAGTGACAGCCTGATTACTTCATTTACAGTGGTGTCTCTGAATATCCCATGGCTGTTAACAAAATCTATCCTCCATGAATTAATTATTTCCTACTAAGAATACTCAGAAGAAAGCTAAGTATGGTGGCTTATGCCTGTAATCCCAGCTACTAAGGAGGATGAGATCAGATGAATGGAGGTTTGAGGCTAGTCCAGGCAAAAAGGCAATGGAGCACGATGTCTCACTTCCCAGCCATGACAAGAAGCATGAGTATAAGGACTGCAGTCCAGGGCAAATTGGGCCTATCTCAATAATCACCAAAGCAAAAATAAAGGCTGAGGGCTTACCTCAAGTGGTAGAGTGCCTATGTAGGCTGCATGAAGTTATGAGTTCAAACCTCAATAACATCCTGTCCCCTAAATTAGACTATTCAGAAAAGGGCTGAGTACAATGGCTTTCACACCTCTAATCCCACATACATGGCAGACAGAGTTGTGAGAACGGTGATTAGAGGCCAGCCTGAGAAATAAATTAGTGAAAAAATAAGCCAGGGATGGTGGCACACAGCTTCAATCTCAGCTATGTGGGAGTTCAAGACTGGCCACAGGTGCAAGTGAGATTTTTCCTGAAAACAAACTGAAGCAAAATGGGCTCAGGGTGGGGCCAAAGTAATTAATGCTGTTTTAGCAGCATAAAGCCCTGAATTCAAACCCTAGCACGCCAAAGTAAGTACTCACAGGACTGTACAATGAACTGGAAATTTATTTTAGAAGAAGAAATCTAAGCTATTTTGGATCATTAAGGCAAGTTAGTAACATATCTTTCTAAGATGCCAATGAGTGAAGACAAATTAGGGCACCCACAATCTTCACTTGGTTAAACAGGATTTTTTTTCTTTAAAAAAACAGGATTTCTTTCCAGGTTCATAAGCATACACTAAACAGTAAAGACCAACATTTTAGTGTATCCATCGTTACACAGGCTAGATGGCAACTTCCAGGCTCTCTTATTCATAGGGTAAAGCGTATGCAGTAAGACTAAAGAAATACACCTTTATTTGCTGCCTATAAAAGAGAGGGAACAAAACATGGCAGGAAACTCCACTCAACATGGTAAATACAAAGAGGATGTCAACAGGGCAGGTTTAATCAGGACAATAATGCAAAACAGCGATGTCTGTATAGAGAGACTCAATAAATGAACACCAGAAATGTGTTTTCGGATTAAAATAAAAAAAATCACAATTGTCAGAGTTAGAATTTCTCCTTTTCTTATAAAAAATATTATAGTAATTCCACTTGCTATGTATTTCAAATGAAATGTTCCAGAGATATACTACATGGTTGAAGTAATCTTTTGAAGTTCTTCATATGAATGACACAAGTTTTCATTTCCCCTCCATGAAAAAAGTATTGGAAAATGACTTCACAGGTCTTACCCAACTACACTCCCAACAGATATAGTTCAGCAATACTCTAATGCAGAATAAGGATGTGAGCAGAGGAAAGGAACAAAGGACAATACCGGAAGTAGAGTGCCGGTCACTGGAGAGGCTAACCACTGACTCCGCAGAAGGAAACACAAATGTTTTTTGACTGGAGTGATTTTCTGTTACTGAAAATTCAGTTTCTGAAGGTTCCTCTTTAACACTTTGATCTTGCTCGGCCATGTAAGTCAGGAAATGCTCTAATCCATACGACATACGACAAAAGAAGAGGAAAAGAGAAAAAAGTAGGAAAAATCCAACACCGGTATACGAAATTTGCAATATATTATTCTAAGAGTTTCTATGGTAAAGCGAACTAATTTATTTTTTTAAGCGAACTAATTTAATGTGAAACTTAAAATGAAATCTGTCCCATAGTAAAAACAAATAGTTAAATTTAAGAAAGAAGACATCAAGAAACCATAATAAAAAGAATGGGACAGGCATTTTCAGACATTAAAGTCACAATGAAGTGGTAGAACAGCAAAGATACAGAGTAGAAAAGAGAGTTGGGAAAGCAGAATGCAGAGCTGAGGAAGTCAACATGAGTACGAGAGAGGCAGGCAGAAACTTTGAAAGAATCATTAAAAGAGTAAAGACCTTCATTAAGCTTATGTTTTGGCTTTATATATTTGCTTCTTACATATTTACATTATTTGAGTCAAACATTTTTAAAGAAAGAATTGTAAGCAAACAAACTGACAAAAACATTAATAAAGGAAGGCCTAAAGCTAACGTATCGCCTCACTGTTTTGAGAATGCTTAACTCCCATCTCCGCGATAACCACTCAGAGCATGATTAGGGACAACCATTAGGGATTGCTGGCCCACATGACCAGGCACAGTGGTTCAAGCTATCTGGGAGGCAGAGGTCACTCTCAGTTTGAGGCCTGCCCGGGTTCATGAGAGCATATATCTGGCGATGCACAGCTGTGCGGCGATGCACACCTGTCAGCTAGAACTGCAGGGGAAGCGTGGTACATGCCTGCCACTGCTTCCTCAACACAGAAAAGCTCAAATAGGAAGGTCACAGTCCAGGCTAGCCTAGACAAAAAGTGAAACTCAAAAAGGGAGTGGTCGAGTAGCCTAAGTGGTAGAGAATCTGCTGAGAAAGCATAAAGCAATGAGCTTGAACTCCAGCACTGTTTTAATCAGTGCTGGGAAAAAAGGAAACAAATTTATACGGAATTCATATAGGGGTGAGGAATACAAAAGGAAATGTCAAGTTGGGCACTGGTGGCTCATGCCTGTAATCCTTAGCTACTCGGGAGACTGAGATCTGAGGATCAGGGTTCAAAGCCAGTCCAGGCAGCACCAAAATGGTGCTGTAACTCAAAGTGCTAGCCTTGAGCAAAAAAGCTCAGGGACAGTGCCCAAGCCGTGAGTTCAAGTCCCACAACCACCACCACACCACCACCACCACCAACAACAACTACAACAACCCAAAACCAAAACAGAAAAAGAATCATATACTTTTGGTAAGAATGGAAACTTTTTTTTGAAAATCTGTACAGCGGTTCCTTAAAAGTTTAAAAATAAACCTATACTATCACCATGTCGTAACACTCTTGGGCTTATATCTAAAGAAAAAAAATCAATATATAAGAGAGAGTTGGGCTGGGAAGGTGCTTGCCTTGCATGCCTGAGGCCCTGGGTTCGATTCCTCAGCACCACATAAGCAAAAAAAAAGCCGGAAGTGGCTCTGTGGCTCAAATGGTAGAGTGCTAACCTTGAGCTGAAGAGCTGAGGAACAGCGCCCAGGCCCAGAGTTCAAGCACCACGACCGGACCCCCCCCCAAAAAATATATATATATGAGATATACCTACATACCCATGTAAGTGGGAGGAGAGGGGGGGAAAGGAAAGGATATACTGAGGAACTTTAACACATGTCTAAGAACTGATGCCATAATACACATCATCTTATCCCAATACAAAATCAATGGAAATCTGTCAGCCCTTCCAACCCCACCACAAACCTTCTTCAGAAATGGGAATGGTTTTTGAAGTAATTGGTATTTCAGTTTCAGGACCAGAAGACAACTGGATGTTATCCACCTGTAGAAAACATACACACGTGCACACACAAACACACACACATAAAACAACCATTATAAATTTTATATTTGATAATTTCCAACTACTACAACAATTTTATGTGAGTTTTAAACATAGCACTAACTCAACAAATGAAATGGGATTAAATCCAATATAAGCTACATAGTAGGTGTCACAAAGAGGAAGGTTTCACTCTTTTGTAGTGTGACTGAACCTTTTAGGAGGCTTAGGAAAACAGCATCATATAATTATGGAATAGGAAAAGCACCTTAACTACCATCCGGGTGAACATCTTCCAATTTTTAGATGAAGAAACAAGGCTCAGACTCAGTGACTTTCTTAGAACCAGAACATTAATTTCTACCCAGATCCTTAAGAACCTACAGTGACAATGGTAATAAGTAATACAGTAATAGCATATGGGAATAAAAGGAGGATTATCTGGGGACAGGAAGGAAGGAGGGGAAGAGGGAAAGGAAAGGAATACTGAGCGGGAAAATGATAAGGTCAGTCTTGTCTCCAGTATCATTCAGTCTCAGTGTTTATGTGCGTATGTGTAAAATTATAACAGGATGGGAGCACTTTACACAAACGCAGCAACTCTACCACTTGAATTAGTGTTCTGTATTTCATTGCAGCCATCCTCCAAGATTAAATACTTAGGGACTTTGAGCATGCTTTTACAATTCTACCCTTGCAACTGTCTCCAGGTTTATAGTACAATTATTAGTCATTGTTCTAGTGGGAAACCTTTATTACATAAACGTGATTTTTATGATTGCCAGTGTCCACTAGGAGTAAAGGCAACCAAGAAACACATTCATCAGATACCTGCCATTGCAGTAGGGCATGAATGGTCCTCATCTGCCAGTCTCAAAGGCTTGGGCTCTATCAGGATTTTGGGGAACTTTCTCCAAATGTCAAACCAGCTATGCCAGCCTGTGTAATCTGAAAAGATGTTTTGGGTGGGCATGGTAGGCATAGCTGTGGGAGATTAAGGGGCTAGAGCTGTAGACGCTGCTTGGCCAGCTGCCTGCTGAGGGTCTATTGCCCACAGCCTTGTTGTGAGTCTTCCTCCTTACCAGGCGGTGTGGAACTCTTCCTTTGTCCTTTCCTCACTCAGTGTGCTCCTCAATCTTGACTTCATCTTTATCCTAAATGATCACTCCAAAATCTGCACATCTAGCCGAGACTTCGCTCCTCAGTTCCAGAAGTTTCCATCCGGCTGCCTGCTAATTCCTTGTACTTCTAGCTGAGTGCAGCCTCACAGAAACCACTGGGCCTCCCTCTTCCACACAATCCCCACCCCCTTCCTCCTTGGACTCCACCAGGTACTCGCTCTTCCCACAGCCCGCTGGTCTCTAAGTCCTGCAACAGCCTCTCCATTGCTACTGCTAAGTTCACCGTCATTGCCATTGCCACTGCTGAGTTCACTTCTGTGACCATTGTTTTTCCTTGGATGTGCCTCAAACCACCACCATGGACCTCCTCAGGATGGTTTCTGAGGCTTATTTGTATCAAAGACCACTGGACTTCACCTCACAGACTTCAAGTCAATAGTCTTGGAATATGAGGCCAGGGTGCGTGCATTTCCAACAAGTTTCCAGGATGAGTTTTATGAGCAGCCAGGTTTGAAGTCACTGGGACCCAAGTGTTCTTCCTGTTCCCAGTTAGCATGTTTGATGAAATTACTTCATGGCTTAACATTCTGCAAAGGTTCCCTAATGCCAGTTTATAGGATAAAAATCCCCATTTCTTGGAGTAGCCAACAGTGCTTTCCCCTTTGTCCCGTTCCTACCTCTGCTACCCACAAAGGCTCCCTGTAAGTAATGCTGATACAGCATACACACTATGCCTCTTGGCCCTTCTCTGCTCTTGTGCCCATCATTTGCCAGCCTTTTCTTATATCACTGTGTTCACCAACTCATTACCAGCTCTACACAGGCTTCTCTGATGCATGCAGCAGGCCAGCTGTACTTATGCACTCTTTTGGCAAGCAGTACATATTTATACATCTACCTAATCTCTGTAGATTCCAAGCTCCTAGATGGTAGACAGGTCAGAGCCTGACTTCTTATAGATGCGCATGCAAATGTTTGTTGAAGAAATAAAAGGACTCAAGGAATATGTAAAGTAGCATGACTAGCTGAGGTAGAAGTTAAAATCTGGCTTTCAGTGGGTTCTTATTACTAGCTGAGGACTAATTCAAAAGAGATTCTTAGAAGTAAAGGGCTCCGCCGGGCGCTGGTGGCTCACACCTGTAATCCTAGCTACTCAGGAGGCTGAGATCTGAGGATTGCGGTTCAAAGCCAGCCTGGGCAGGAGAGACCGTGAGACTCCTATCTCCAATAAACCACCAGAAAACCGGAAGTGGCGCTGTGGCTCAAGTGGTAGAGCGCTCGCCTTGAGCTGAAGAGCTGAGGGACAGCGCCCAGGCCCAGAGTTCAAGCCCCACGACCGACAAAAAAAAAAGAAGCTCAGGAACAGTGCCCAGACCCTGAGTTCAAGCCCCAGAACTGGCGAAAAAAATAAAGTAAATCAAGAAGTAAAGGGCTCCAAGGATTCGTTTAAAGCTCAATATTCATTTGGACATGAGACTTCCAAGTTAGTGTTAAACAGCAACAACAACAACAAAGCAACCAGGCTAGAGGTGATGGCTCAAGTCTAGAATCTTAGATACCTAAGAGGCAGAAATTTGATTATGGTTCAAGACACCATCTCCCAATGGCTGGGTGTAGTCATAAAAGGCTGTTATCCAAGCTATGGGGAAGCACAATGGATGGGCGCAGAGATACATGCCTGTCATCCCCAGAGACGTGGGGAAGCACAAGTTCAGGTCAGCTCAGCCATAAAAGACCCTACATCAAAAAAGCCAACCCAAACAGGAGCCAGAGTGCATGCCTAGCTCTCCTGAGGCCTTCGTTTAATCTCTAGTGCCAACAAGAAACAAAACTTTCTTATTTAGACAAGCTCTCTACTGCTGAGCTACATCTGTAGCCCAATAAAAGTATTACTTAACAGTGGTCCTACTTCACATTTTAATATAGTTTTATATATGTTTAATTTAATTTTAACCTTTTAAATGTATTTTGAAAGTAAGGATTAAAGAAATTGTGTATCACCTCACTGTAGTAAGAATGGCTGTCAAAAAGACTAAATATAAGTGTTGGTGAAGACACAGAAAAAAGGGATCCTTGCACACTATTGGGAGGAAATTTAATTAATACAACCATATGGCAAACAGTATGGAGTTTGCCAAAAAATAAACTACCCTATGATCTATCAGTCTCACTGACGGTGATCTGAAGGAATGAAATCAGTATCTGAGATATTTGTACTCATTTATCACAGTAACTTTCACAATAGCTAAGACGTGGAAAAAGCTAAGAGTCCATTACTGGATGAATGAATAGAGAAAATGTGGTCAATATATAAAAAATGGAATGCTATGCAATCATAAAAACAAATGGAATTGTGGGTGCCAGTGGCTTGTGTCTATAATCCAGGAGGTTGAGATCTGAGGATCCCAATTTGAAGCCAACTCAATGAAGAAAGATCCAAGAAACTCAGCTCCAATTAACCAGAAAAAAAAAATCTGAAAGAGGAGGTATAAGTTAAGTGGTAGAGCCAAGCTATGCGTAAAAAAGCTAACTGAGAGCGAGAAACCCAGAGTTCAAGCCCGGGTGCTGGCTAAACAAAAGTGTTATTTGCAATAACATGGATAAAGCTGGTGACAATTAGCCACACACAGAAAGATAAGCACCACATGATCACACACTTATGGGAAATCTAAAAAAGTTGATCTCAAAGAAATTAGGAAAAGTAAGGTAGTGGATAGAGAACTGGGAGAATAGAGTTGGAGAGGGGCGATGCTGACTGTTGGGTATAAAGTTAGTGACACAGGAGCAAAAGTGCCTCAGATAGCATGATACATGTGATATTCTGTACATTTCATAAAACTAGAAGAGCCAGGCTCACGCATGTAATCCTACATACTCAGGAGACTGAGATCTGAGGACTATGGTTTAAAGCCACTGGCAGAAAAGTCAGTGACATTCTTATCATCAAAATAACCACCAAACTACTGGAAATGGAGTTGTGGCTCAATGTGGTAGAGCATTAGCCTTGAGTGAAAAAGCTCAGGGATAGCACCCAGGCTGAGTTCAAGCTGCACTTTCTGACAAAAAAGAAGAAGAAGAAGAAGCTTTCAAAGAAAACCACAGTCTGATTAGTACATTTCTTTCTTTAGTAGGAAGTCTGGGCATACTCCTTAACAGCTCAGGGCAGTACATCTCAACTGGGAATAATTTGGGACCCTAGAGGATATCAGGCATTGTTGGAGATGTTTTGATTGTTAAACTAGAGGTAGTGCCACTGGTAGCTAGTGAATAAAGAGCAAGATGTTGCCTCAAATATCCTACAATGTGTGGGATAGTCCCCCATAGCAAAGAATTATCTGGGGCTGGGAATGTAGCTCAGTGGTGGAGCACTCAAGGCCCTGGGTTCAATCTCTAGTACTGCAGTTTAAAAACAAAAGGCTCAAGTGGGAGGCCCTAGGTCTCAATCCAAATCTAATAACTCAGTTACACACACACACACACACACACACCCCTCGGGTCTCAATCCAAATCTAATAACTCAGTTACACACACACACACACACACACACACCCCTCGGGTCTCAATCCAAATCTAATAACACTACCTCATGACATCGTACACACACACACACACACACACACACACACACACCTCTCTCTCTCTCCAGAATACAGACACACTACCTCATGACATCGTAGATTGAGCATTTCAGGTCTTGGGAAATCCTGCTCTATGTTTTCCGCAATGGTTTGGACGGCCAGGAGCTGCTCATCGATTTTCTGAAGCTTAGCATTGAGATCCTCTAGCCTGCAAGCTGAGGGGCTTGGCACGGGCGGGGCTGCAGGAATGTCCTGCAGCAGTGTCCACAGCAGCAAATCTTCTACAGCATCTGACTTTGTACTCTGCTCTTTAAACTGGAATTCTGGTTGAGGCAGATCTAACATTTCTAAAGATAAAATTATCAGGGATTAAAATTAAGTAAGAGGCAGCTTTTAATGAGGTCATTTTAAGTCTATATAACGTAATCTTTGAAATCAGTTTTTTGTTTGGTTTTGTTTTTTCTTTTTTTTTTTTCTTGGCCAGTCCTCGGCTTCAACTCTTGGCCTAGGCACTGTACCTGAGCTCCTTTTGCTCAAGACTAGCATTCTATCGCTTGAGCCACTGTACCACTTCTGGCTGTTCCTGTGATTAACTGGAGATAAGAATCTCATGGACTTTCCTGCCCTGGCTGGCTTCCAACTGTGATTCTCAGATCTCAGCCTCTTGAGTAGGTAAAATTATAGGCATGAGCCACTGGTACCCAGCTTGAAATCAGTTTTAATATACTCAGAATTTCCATTTCAGTTTTGAGACTTCTTATCACAAGCTAGTATCACAACCTTGACACGTATAATCTTTTTTTTTTTTTGGTTGGTCGTGAGGCTTGAACTCTGGGCCTGGGCGCTGTCCCTCAGCTCTTCAGCTCAAGGCGAGTGCTCTACCACTTGAGCTACAGCGCCACTTCCGGTTTTCTGGTGGTTTATTGGAGATAAGAGTCTCACAGTCTTTCCTGCCCGGGCTGGCTTTGAACCACGATCCTCAAATCTCAGCCTCCTGAGTAGCTAGGATTACAGGCGTAAGCCACCAGCACCCGGCGACACATAATCTTAATGCCCTGAGACTTCAATATTTTTATGACTTTTTGAAATGCAGCACCAGCACATAGTAAAAAGCAGGGCCAGCTGGATGCCGGTGGCTCACGCTTGTAATCCTAGCTACTCAGGAGGCTGAGATGTGAGGATCTCCGTTCAAAAGCCAGCTCGGGCAGGAAAGTCTGTGAGACTCATCTCCAAAAACCACTAGAAAACCGGAAGTGTCTCTATGGCTCAAGCGGTAGAGCGCTTGTCTTGAGCTGAAGAGCGCAGGTACAGCGCCCAGGCGAAGAGTTCAAGCCTCAGGACTGACAAAAAAAAAAAAACAGGGCCTAACTTTTGCTGTTACTGACTCAAGTAAACATTTCATCTCCCGAGACCATTCATGGCTTCTCTAGTTGCCTCTTTCATTCCTCACCTCAGTGAGCTTGCCCCAAGCCAGAGGCATGAGGACCAAAATTTCTCTCTTTCCTTCCAACACAATGATGCCAGACAGTCATGATTCTACTTCTTGCTAATGGCTGTGCTGCCACCACAGTCCAATGAGCTTTCCTAATAAATGCTGTGCCTAAAACTTCTCTGTCTCCAGTGCCTTCATCCTCAAAGTCTAAATGCCTCAATGTGACAAAGACACAGAGTGTTCTCTCTACTTAGTATAAAGCTTCATCACTTACTATTTCTTCAAACACTGCACTTGATTCCAAGTTCAATGAAACTTCCCTTTTCTGAAACTCAGCAAGCTCCCAGAGTTCGAATACCCTTTCACTCCCGGAATTCTACCTTCCTTTAGAGCTTCACTTTGATGCCTCTCCTTAGCCAGTAGCAATCCTCTCTGAAGTCACAGTAGGTGCTGCATTATCCAGCAATCTCACTAGGCTTCCTTCTGCACTTACCTAGCTATATCCTAAGCATTCCTTTATTCATGTGTCTTTCATCCCCCATTGGCCAACAGGCTAGGATTCCTCTTTTCCTCTCAGCTCCAAGGCTATTCCCCCAAGACTAACAGGCTAGAATTCCTCTTTTCCTCTTAGCTCCAGCACTTACACTGTAATTTAATTTTTTTAACTTTTTTATTGTTATTATAAGGGTGATGTTCAGAGGGGTTACAGCTACGGTTATATAAGTCAAGTAAGGAATACATTTCTTTCTGGACAATGTTACCCCTTCCCTTATTCTCTCCCAGTTTTTTCTTCTAACTTAATGTTTTTAGAATGAATAGTAGGCCAAAGAGAATGATGCCTGCCTCACCTAACACATAAAAGTTTTATGAAGACTAAATTATGTGACAAAGTGCTCTAAACAACCATATAAACAGTACTTGATATATTTTTTCAGCCAGTCTAAGGTGAGTTTCCTATGAGAAGACAATGGTGAATACTAGTGTTCACCATGACAGTTATATAATATTGTCCTAGCTACCCTTCTTGCTTCTTGGAAGCCTGAAGTGTTTTCCTCGTCACCCTCAGTAAAGATTTGATGCACACAGACTTCAAGTACAAAATATAGACAGACACGCTCATAATCAGGAATACCCGACAGATGACAAAAAGGAGCTTCAAAATCTGCAACAGTGGTACTTGTTGGTGTGTACAGCAGTGACACCTGTGCCTAAACATATCCTAGGGAGATGGTTTCCTCCACCATCCCTTCCTAGCAGTTCATGTCCCTGAGTGCCCACTGTGGATTCTTTTCTTTCTTTCGTTCTATATTTCTTTCTTTTGTCATCCATTGTGTGGCCTGAACTCCGGGCCTGGGCACTGTCCCTCAGCTCTTCAGCTCAAGGCTAGCGCTCTACCACTTCAGCCATAGCACCACTTCTGGCTTTTTCTGCTTATGTGGTGTTGAGGAATTGAACCCAGGGCCTCATGCATGCAAGGCAAGCACTCTACCACTTCCCAGCCCCCACTGTGGATTCTACACCTCACATCTTGCAACCACAAAGTAGGGTCACTACTCCTATGAGACCCAGGAAAAGCATTAGGCATTTGCTCCAGGAAACATGTGAATTAGATTGATCTAACCATTCATAGGCTGTAAGAACTTCATATTGAGGAGGAATACTCTTCTAACTAGTATGTTTCCCATACGGTAACATGATTCATGACTATCAAGCTTATTTCTAACATAGAAATAAGGTACTGAGGTAGGAGAGGCCGTGCTGTGCATCACCTTTTTCCTGCTGTGTGTCTGTTGATGCTGCTGTTGCTGAAGTTGCTGAAGGGAGCTCAGGTGCTTCATTGATGCCGGCTTTCCAATTTTGCCCATCTAAACAGACTGGAGTCACTTCTACAGGTTTAGGAAACAAACCCACAGTAGAACTGGCAGGTTCTATCAAGAATAGGAAAGGCATACAAAAATCAACTCTGAAATTCTCAACAATATGATAAACATAAGCAGTCAAAAGTGCAGTGGGTTTGAGGAGGAAGACTCTGAGTAGGGAGAACAATATTAATATTTTTCAAAATATATTTAATTTGTTTAAAAAGTAGGAAAGAGCTATTACCTTGACTTTCAAAGTTGTGGGGGGTAAGAGCACCTGAGATGGAGGCAGCCATGCAATGCAACTCTGCAGATGACGGGACATCCAGGTGGTCACTTTGCTGTTTGGTAACACCATCGTCATGTTCAGGCTCTTCTCTGACAAGTAATTCCTGTAGGTCATCAGCTTCGATGTCAATCACATTTATATAAGTACGTCCAGCCTGAGTTAAAACACATAAAAATCACTCTTTTCCCTTTTGATAGCTACTCTGCCAAAAAAAGACTAATTCCTTATTCTTTTTTGTTGTTGGTTGTAGGGCTTGAACTCTGGGCCTGGGCGCTGTACCTTAGCAATTCAGCTCAAGATGATAGCTCCATCACTTGAGTCACAGTGTCACTTCCAGTTTTCTGCTGGTTAATTGGAGATAAGAGTCTCACAGGACTTTCCTGTCTAGGCTGACTTTGAACCCTGATCCTCATATCTCAGCCTCCTGAGTATCTAGGATTACAGGTGTGAGCCACCAGCACCAGGCCTTAATTCCTTATTCTCATTACTAGAAAATACAAAGAGTATGTATGGGAGAAACTCAGGAAAGCTGCAGGAAGTATGACACTGCTTTTAGTTCAGTGTCTAATAAATTTTTGACCTTTTCCACAAAGTTACCCAGATGAGATTTTTACACTCAGTTTGCCCATACAGTAACATAACACCTGATGGCCAAAATAGCCTTAAGCACAAAGGTATTATTAAGACTCTGAATACATAAGCCATGTTTGCTACCGTAGGGGGTGGGGAGGGGGACAGAGGTTCAGTTGATGTTTCAGTGGCAAATTTGACACTTGGATGCACATCCGGAACCAAGAGCTGAGAAATGTCCAAAGGTTCATGTTCTAAAAAAAAAAAAAGGAATTCATAAAATCTCTGTAAATATCCCTAAGTCATTATCTTTATAGAACACATTAACAAACAGTTGTTGAAAATCTAAGTGCAAATACATTAAAACAAGTTATATTCTATCATAAGAGCAATGTACTCTATAGAGAAATTATACGTGAATGAAGATGGAGAAGCATTTTTATGAATGATTCACAAGAATAACTTACCTAATTGTATCAATAATTCATTACAACTTTCTATTTCCATTTCAAATAATTAAGTCATATTTGTTTTCTTTTGGAATATTTCAATAAAGCCAGATTTTAGAAAATTTTTATTTTTTAGTTAGTTCTGGGTTTGAACTCAGGGTCTTACACTTGTTAGGTAGGTGCTCTACCACTTAAGTCATATCCCGACACTTTCTACTTTTGTTATTTTTCAAATAGGGTCTTGATTTAGCTTAGGACTACAACTACACTGATCTTTACCTCCCAAGTAGTTGAAATTACAGCCCTTCCTTCCCGGATTAACTATATTTTTACAATTTTTTCTAAGAGTTATTTTTATTTAGCCCTTTTTTTTTTTTGGTTGGTTGGGGGAGCTTGAACTCAGGCCTGGGTACTATTCCTGAGCTCTTTTGCTAAAGGCTAGCACACTACCATTTTGGGCCACAGTACCACTCCCAGTTTTCTGGTGTTTAATTAAAGATTAGCATCTCACAGACTTTTTTCCCAGGTTGGCTTTGAACCATGATCCTCAGATCTCAGCCTCATGAGTAGCTAGGAATAAAGGTATGAGTCACCAGTGCCTGGCTTAGCTAATTATTTATATTAGTAGTTTTATTAATATATAATTCATATTCTTTTTTTTTTTTGGGTCCGGTCGTGGGGCCTGAACTCTGGGCCTGGGCGCTGTCCCTCAGCTCTTCAGCTCAAGGCTAGCACTCTACCACTTGAGCCACAGTGCCACTTCTGGCTTTTTTCTTTTTTGCTTATATGGTGCTGAGGAATCAAACCCAGGGCCTCTTGCATGCAAGGCAAGCACTCTACCACTGAGCCACCTTCCCAGCCCATAATTCATATTCTTTAAAAATGAATTTTAGAGATAGGTGCCAGTGGCTCATGCCTATAATCTAAGCTACTTAGGAGGCTGAGATCTGAGGATTGCAGTTTGAAGCTAGCCCAGGCCAGAAAGGCCAGGAGAGTCCTATCTCCAATTAACTACCCCAAAAGCCAGAAGTGGAGCTGTGGATCAAGTAGAACGCTACAAAAGCTCAGGCCCAGAGTTCAAGCCCCAGGATTGGGCTTGAACACACACACACACACACACACACACACACACACACACACACACACACGTAATTATAGAGCTCTGTTAGCTAGACTTTACCATTGTGTGTGTCTGTATGTGTGTGTGTGCCAGTGTATGTGTGTGTGTGCCAATCCTGGGGCTTGAACTTAGATCTCAGACTCTTGAGTAGCTAGGATTATAGGTGTAAGCTGTTAGTACCTGGCTACTTAATATGCTTTTTTTTTTTTTTTTTGCCTGTCGTGGACCTGAGCTCTGGGCCTAGGCGCTGTCCCTCAGCTCTTCAGCTCAAGGCAAATGCTCGACTGCTAGAGCCCACAGTGCCACTTCTGGCTTTTTCTGTTTATGTGGTGCTGAGGAATTGAACCCAGGGCCTCATGCATACAAGGTAAGCACTCTACCACTGAGCCACCTTCTCAGCCCCTTATTATGCTTTTTAACAACGATATGTAATTTTACTATTATTATTAAGATAATGTGCAGAGAGGTTACCATTTTATAAGTCAGGCAAGGGTCAATGTCACCCTTCCTTCGCTTTCCTTTTGTTTCCCCATCCTATCCTTGCCCACAAGGTCATTGTCTACACAGTGTACACTGAACGCTTCACATGTTAGCATCTAGATTTTACAAAAGTAATCTGCTGCTTATTCAACAGTAAAATAAATACTCCTGACAACAGGAAAGTCAGCAGACAATTTAATTCTGGGTATCTGTCCTAGGACACTAATTAATTTCTAGTTTTTTATTTTTAATAAAGCTTTACTTTCAAATTACATGTTAAAAGACAACTCATTGTCAAACTGAGTCCAGGAAACTTGCTACCAATGCTTGAATATAAATTATATATTTGCCCAAAAACAGAAACAAGGAGTCCCAGAAGTACTTACTATGCTTAGCTAACAGTCTTTTTCTAATGGAGTGGTAACACTGGCTTTGGCACATGCAGGTACAGGCTTAAAGTCAAACTGGCTGGGTAATGTTGGCTCACATCTGTAATCCTAGCTACTCAGGAGGCTGAGATCTAAGAATCATCTTTTAAAGCCAACTTGGCCAGAAAAGTCTATTAGGCTCTTATTTCCAACTAACCAATGAAAAACAAAAAGCAGAATTGTGGCTCATGTGGTACAATACCAGCCTTGTGCTAAAAATCTAAAGGATAGTGCCCAAACTCTGAGTTCAAGCCCCATTATTAGACAAACAAACAAACAATAAATAGTTGTTTTTAGACAAATAAAAGACATCAGACCTGTGGTGGAAGTGCTGGATTGCTGATTTTTAACACATTCAGAGATAACTTCTTGAGATGCAGCCTCCTTATCTTGTAGTAAATTAGGAGATTTCAGGCAAAAAGAAAAATCAGAAAACAATTTCACAACCACAATAACAATACATGACTGTTGATAATTATATATTGTATATAAAAAGTGATGGGAAGCTGGGTGTCAGTGACTCAGACTGTAATCCGAGCTATACAGATGGCTGAGATCTGAGAATCACAGTTCAAAGCCAGCCTAGGAAGTAAAGCTGTGCTATTATTTTTTTTTTATTTTTTATTTTTATTGTAAAGATACTATACAGAGGGTTCTGTGCTATTCTTAACTCTAATTAACAAGCAAAAATCTGAAAGTGGAGCTGTGATTCAAATGGTAGGAAAGGGCACTATCCTTGAACAAAAAAGCACTCGATAGCACCCAGCACCTGAGTTCAAGCCTCAAAATGGCCAAAAAAAAGGGGGGGAGGTCAATTGACAAATTATAATCAATTAATAAACTTCAAATTTTTATTATTATCTATGCCCTTGGCATTCACTAGGATCACTCTTAGCCAACAATCTTCTATCTGGCAACAAGGAAAGTACTTCCAGGGTTGGGAAGGTGGCTCAGTGGTAGAGTGCTTGCCATGCATGCATGAGGCTCTGGGTTTGATTCCTCAGCACCACATAAACCGAACAAGCCAGAAGTGGCGCTGTGGCTCAAGTGGTAGAGCGCTAGCCTTGAGCTGAAGAGCTGAGGGACAGCGCTCAGGCCAAGAGTTCAGGCTACAGGACTAATTAAAAAAAAAAAAAAAGTTGAGATGTTACCAGGAGCAGGTGGTTCATGCCTGAAATCCTAGCTACTCAGGAGGCTAAGATCTGAGGACTACAGTTTGAAGTCAGCCTGGGCAGGAAAGTCCTTGAGACTCTTATCTCCAATTAATCACAAGAAACCTGGAAGTGCTGCTGTGGTTCAAAGTGGTAGAATGCTAGCCTTGAACAAAAAAGCTCAGGGACAGTGTCTAGGGCTGGAGTTCAAGCCTTACAACTGACCAAAAAAAAAAAAAAAAAGTTGAGATGCCTTAAGTATGTCAAGACACATATGAAAAGTTTTTTTAAAGAGCATTTTTACCTGGATCTGTATTAGTACTTGCATCCTGACTTCCCACAGCTTTCTTTAGGATAGAGGCCATGAAATGCAATCCAGCTGAAGTATTAACATTATCTTGTAGCATTTCTTAAATAGAACAAAACATTGGGAGCAGTCACTAAGAAGCCAACATGTTACTAGGGGCCTAGAAGCACAAAGACCTGAGTGAAGGAGAAGTAAGATGCTGCCAGCATGGATTTCTGCTCACAGTGGTTTGTATGCTGAACCTCAAGGGCACAGTGAGGGGTGTCTGTGTTAAGTCTAGGAACCTCCATCTTCCTCTGGCTTGTAAAGATCCAGTAGCTATTAAGCAGGGAGGTTATATGGTTAGACTTCTGTTCCAGAAAAGCCACTGCTGCCTTGTATGGAAAACAGATTTGAGTAGATAAAACTGAAGTCAGGCAGGCAGTCAGCTGGATGAGATGATTGCAGCAGTTCAGTTATGACAAAGAAATTTCAGAATAACAAGGAGGTAAAGTAGGCAAGAAGTGGTCACTGGCTGGGTGAGAGGAGAAAATTGGCAAGAAAAAAGGTTTATAGCATGACAATGTTTCAGTAAAACTTGATTTAGGCCAGGCTAGATCCTGTCTTCAAGCCATAATCTGTCAACCATTGCTCTACTGGATATAGCTTCACAGCGTATACCTCCCTGCTTTCTTGTCAAACATAACATGGAAGTAACTGACTCATTTTTATATTCTACCCATTCCTAGAAAATTGATTTTTAACTCTTGCACAAACATAACAATCATAAATATACATACCATAAGGTATGTATATAGACATACCATAAGGAATGTTGAAATTTTCCAAAGGCTGAGAAGCATGGTGTTCTTGTTGTTCCTAAATAAATGACCAAATGATCAACATATAATTAGTTCAAAGACATCTACTACTGTGGAAAAAATAGTCAATAACCATGTAGATTAAATTCCTAGATGCAGGTTCCATTCTATCGCTGACTGAATAACTACTTATTCTATCTATGAAGTTACTTACTCCTTGAAAGTAACTACGAGAGTTAGTTCAGGAACAGAAAGTGACAGAGGGTGTGAGATTGACTTGAATCATTGTAAACATGCATGTAAATGCCACAATGAAATTCCAGCCCTGTACTACTAATGTACTCTAATAAAATAAAAATAAACATTTCATTTACAAGTCAAGTATTTAGACAGAGAATTAACAATTTAATGCAAAGTTACTATAAGCAATTCTCAACTGCAGAGGCTGTTTGACATAAAAACAACATGCTATTCTATCAAAATTATCAAAGTTCACAGACACAAAGAAATTCCAAACTCTTCATGTACAAGTCAGAGAAGAATAAGCTATAGCAGTATACCTTGTCTTTCGTGACAATTTCAGGCTCTTCATTAGTAATGAGGGAATCCTCCGGCCGGAAGCTTACGCTTTTTTTCTTAGATTTCTCAGATCTTTTCTCTTGCAGCTCTTTCTCAGCTTGTCGTCTTTGCCTGTCAAAAATATCAGTATAAAACATATTCTCCTCTTATATCAATGGTAGTTTTTCATTTGTGTTATATCATATGGAGACAGTTATTGAACTGTTTTCAGTAGGATTTAATTAAATCAGGATATAAATACTACTAGTATACAAATTAATAAACACAATGAAACAAGGATGGGTGAAATTTATTTCAGGTTCCTTTTCTACTGAACTGACTATTCTGTGTTGGTCACTGGAGCCTGAAGACAGGCTTTGCCTTTGAAGCAGTTGTCAAACTCTCTTGGTTGAAGATCTGAAGCTGGTGGAACAGCTCCATTCATTTATTTGAAGAAGATAAGAAGACTTAAAGTCACCTCAGCCAAAAATCTCAGCCAGGAGGAAAGAGGAAAGAGGTCCCCCAGACTGTGGGAAACACGTATACAGAAGGACTGTTGCCTGGGAAGAACAGAAGAAAGTAACCATTTCTAGAAAGAAAGCACTAGTGATGGATGTCTGATTCATATGAAATTCAAAATTTTCTAGATTCAGCAATCATCTCCAACCCATGTATGTCTTGAGTATCCACTACAGCTAGAACATTATAGTAAGTAAGTTACAGCCTTGCTTTGTAAAGGAACACTGCTTGCTTACTAACTTGAAACAATTTACATCATACTTACTCTCCTGCTTTCTCTGAGTCTGGAGAACATAGTAAAATAAATAAAAATGAAAACTGGTTCCTGGTTTTAGACAGCACATGGAACATTGCATGATACTAAATATGTGTTCTGCAAAAGATGCCAGGGAAGAATTCCTTTATAAAATGGAAAGAGTGATTCTTACAATAGAATTTTCCTCATTATAAGACATGTTCAAAGCCAGGTGGTGGTGGCTCATGCCTGTAATCCTAGCTACTCAGGAGACTGAGATCTGAGGATTGAGGTTCAAACCCAGCCCAGGCATTAAAGTCCATGAGACTCTTATCTCCAATAAACCACTCAAAAACTGTGGCTCAAGCGGTAGGTAGAGTGCTTGCCTTGAGCTGAAGAGCTGAGGGACAGTGTCCAGGCCCAGAGTTCAACCCCCACAACCGACCCCCCTCCCCCCCACAAAAAAAAGACATGTTCAAATATATAATACTCAACAAGGACATTGTGAATAGGCCAGGAGGTTGAAGCAGACACTTCTACCTTCATTATATTGGTAGATTATTTTATAGTTTGTAACTATAAATATAGATTGTGACTATGAGTATAATGAACATGCTGACATGTGATATGATCAATTATACTTTCATTTAGAACTTGCCTTTTCTTACTGCTATTTCCTTGTCTTATTTCAGATGGTTCTAAATGGACGTTCAAAAGCTGAAGATGGGCAGAATCACCTTGTTCGAATAAATTAGGTTCTTGTTTTTGATAGCTTTGTTTAAATGCCATGAGGTTCTCAAGTGGAATAAGTTGTGGCTGTTTGCACTACAGAAAAGAAACAAAATATAATAATAAAAATTTACCAACTCATGTATGCAATACATTTAAAAAATAAAAAAATACCTAAATGTGGAAGAGGTAACACAAATCAACTGGAACAAACTGACTTTGGTAAAATGTGTATCCATATCTTAAAGAATTAAAGGTTTTGAGTGATGAAAAGTTTCATCTTTATTTATGTTCATTTTTCCTTGCAGTGCTGGGGAACAAACCCAGGGTCTTATGCATGATAGGCAAGTACTCTACCACTGGACTATAACACTGGCCTTAAACTGGATCATCTTGTTTTAGAAACTAAACAGAAGCCCACATCACCTAAATCTTATTTCCGTATTAAATTCTTTCCTCTCTTACAGCTGTAAACACTGCTATAAAATATCTGGTGCTTAGAACTGCAATGTACTGATGGCTCCAAACAGGACGATGGGAACTTGAGGGCTCATTGTACTATTCTGTGCAGTAAAAGCTCTTTAATCTTTCTCAAAATGTAAACTCCATTTCTTTAGTCCCTTCTTCTGTTTATAGTATGTTCACAAGAAAAGGAGACAAGGTTAAGTATTTTTTCTGACAACCTCTTCTGTTCCCAGCAACCTCTTCTAAAGTGTACCAGAAAATTATTCAATTATCTCCCTAAGATGGTTCAACTCACCTACAGAATTATATCTGAACAATCTGAATCTCATAAATCAAAGATAATATCTTAAGAGTATATTTTATGGGCTTATAAAAATTTATTATACAAACAACTACGACAGACTTATATGTACTTAACAACTTTAGTCTATAAAAGATAAAATACAATTATTTCATAATTGCTAAAAATCTCCAATAATATGTGCATTCACTCCCTACACACACACACACACACAGACACACACACACACACAGACACACACACACACACAAACACACACACACACACTCACACACACACATGCTTGCACGTGTGCACAGAGGCACCTGAGAATTTCATTTGGTATTAATTACTTCTTCTCTGAGCAGAAGAAATATCTGTGAAATAGCCTAATTCTAGCACTGATAAAGAAAACACTTTTAAAAAATTCAGGACTCAGCTTTTCCATCATTACACAAGAAATCATTACCGTATTTTCTGGGGATAGGCATGAGTGAAGTAATGACAGTTGTGGATATTTTCTTTCTTCTACTACAGTTCTGACAGGTACAGAGGGAACTGCAAATGGTGCTCTTGAGGCTGATGAAAATATGTGAGGCTTAAACTGCAGGTGTAATAATGGAAGGCCAAAGGAATTCTGAGGAGATATCTCTAGGGACCCTGGCTTAACATCAAATCGTTTTTCTGGCTTCATAAACATTGAACAGTCCTGTTGAGATGTCAAGTTTTCTGGTCCAATATACTGGTCCACTTTTCCATGCTTAGGGATGTCTGCAATTACAATTTCTGCCTGTTTCTTCTGTTCAGCTGCATCTTTTATAGCTTCAGCCTTGTATTGGCTTGAATGTGGATGGGATATGGAAGCAGTATGTATTACTTTCTGAGGAAGAGGAGGCTGGAAAGAATCAGATAATCCCCAAGCCTCTCTAGGTTGGGCTGGAGGCCTAATGGGAACATGTGGAAGTCTTCCTGCAGATAAGGAAAGGGGCTTGAATTCATGCTTGGGTGGAAACTGAAGCAAAGGAAAACCACAACCAGGATTCAACGTTTTGGTAGGTGGGATCAGTCTAGGGGTCTTCTGGACAGCAGAGGGTGCAGATAAAAGGTGGTGGTGAACACTTCCAGAAGGAGCTGGAGTAAATGAAGTGGGTGTTAAGATCTGAGATGCTAGCATTTGTTCTCTCTTTTGGGTTTTGCTATTGGATTGACAAGGAGGAATATTCTCAGGTTGATCATTCTGGAAGAGGGAAAAATAAGTGAGTTTAGAACATATTATAAATTCCCTTTTCTTTTTTTGGTAAGTAATGGAGTTTGAACTCGGGGCCTCACTCAGCTCAAGACCAATGGTCTATCACTTGAGCGAAGCCTTTAGTTTGGATTTTTGCTTTATAATTGGGTTTGTCTATACAAGCTCCCCACCTGAATCCTTGGATCTAGCTTCAGAGAAGGATTACCAGCATATGCCACTAGTGCACAGCTGTAAATTCCTTAGTTTGTAAATGATGTTTAGTACATTTTGGAATTTTATTTACCCATAAAACAAAAATCCAAGAATTAAATTTCTAAAATATTAATGGCATTTTTCTATGTGTTACCTGTAAATTCCTCTTATTCTCACGATTAGATTGGATGGCTGCTTCACGACTCTGGGGACTGTTCTTGCCAGGCTCCCTATTGCACTCTTCCATAGACTGTGGTTTAACAAAAAATCTCTCCATAACATTCTGACCGCTGTTGACTTGAACACCACAACTCTCCCTTGTGGGGACTGATACTTGACTTCTCCCCAAATGCATGGACTGAGCCTGCTGGAGAAGCTGATGATGTGCATCTGGGAGGTTAGCAAAGGATGAGCCAACTATTTGCATTAAGCTCAAAAAGTTGATCTGTTGCAGCTAGAATAAAACAAAAAGATGTCTTGAACAAGCCAAGCCACCTGAACACATTACAGAAGTCACACACTGTCTCAGTTTCTGTCACTCACTAGTACAGCACTTAACTGGCATATGTAGGCCCTGTCTTAGATGATGATGATGAAGGAGGAAGAGGAAATAGAAGCAGAAAGGGAAAATGAAGAAAAGGAAGAGGAAGAGAAGAATGAGAAACAGGAAGCAGATGAAGAGTAAGAAAACAAATGTAAAAAGGGACTGAAGAGAGTAAGAGTAAAATCAGTTTCAGTAAGTTTTATGGGACATGCTGAAAAAAACACAAGTTCCCAGAAATTCAAGAGAAAATTGATTACAGGAATCAACAATATAAAAAAATATTTGAGCCAGGTGCTGGTACCTCATGCCTGTAATCCTAGCTACTCAGGAGGCTGACATCTGAAGATTGCGGTTCAAAGCCAGCCGGGGTAGGAAAGTCCGTGGACTTTTTTTTTTTTTTTTTGTCGGTCATGAGGCTTGAACTCTGGGCCTGGGCTGTTCTTGTGCTCTTCAGATCAAGGTAAGCACTCTACCACTGGAGCCACACCACCACTTCTGTGGTTTATTGGAGATAAGAGTCTCACGGACTTTCCTGCCCGGGCTGGCTTTGAACGGTGATCCTTAGCTCTTAGCCTCCTGAGTAGCTAGGATTATAGGCATGAGCCACCAACGCCTGGCTCCGTGAGACTCTCATCTCCAATAAACCATTAGAAAACCGCAAGTGGCACTATGGCTCAAGTGGTGGAGTGCTTGCCTTGAGCTGAAGAGCACAAGGACAGCACCCAGGCCCAGAGTTCAAACCCCATGACAGACAAATAAATAAATAAATACATACATACATACATAAGTTTGATTAATCCCCTGGCCATAAAGGAAATGCAAATCAAAACAACTCTGAGATTGGCCACTGTGAATTTAAACAACAAATGTTGGTGGGATGTGGGGAAAAGGGAAACCTACTGCACGTTTGGTGGGAATGTAAACTAATACAACTACTTTAGAAAGCAGTTTGGAGGTTCCTCAAAAACTGAGCATAGAACTTCCCTACAACCCAGCCATACCACTCCTGGGGATATACCCTGAACCTCATGAGCCAAGATATGATAGACACCTGCACATCCATGTTCGTTGCCACACTATTGATAGTAGCCAAGATATGGAAACAGCGCAGATGCCCCATAATAGATGAGTGGATCCAAAAATTGTGGTACCTATACACAATGGAATTTTATACAGCCATTAATTAGAATAAAACAATATCATTTGCAGGGAAATGGATGGAGCTAGAACAAAGCATGTTAAGTGAAGTAAGTCAAGCTCAGAGAGAAAAACAGTACATGTTCTCTTTGATATGTGGAAATTAGATTTAAAATGCACTGGGATATAATAAGTTATACAAGATTCTAGATATTCGCACACAGTGAACCCATAAGAGGCTACTCTTAGGAGAGAAACATAAAGGTGCAGTGTATACAAAGGTACACAAATATGCCTAAGTGCTTCTTCATATTTATATAAAATAATATACATAGTGAAATGAACTCTAAGATTGAAAATAAAAGACCTCTCTCTTTCTCTTTTTGTCAATCATGGGGCTTGAACTCTGGGCCTGCGCTGTCCCTTGGCTCTTCAGCTCAAGGCTAGTGCTCTACCACAGCGCCACTTCTGCTTTTCTGAGCAGTTTATTGAGATAAAAGTCTCACAGACTTTCCTACCTGGGTTGGCTTTGAACCTCGATCCTCAGATCTCAGCTTCCAGCACCTGGCTCTTTTTTTTTTTAGTTTTTGATGATTCTGCCTTCTTTACCTTATGTATGATATATTCACATTTTCAGTTTTGGAAGAGTTGGGGGGAGGGTAGAGAACTTGAGAGAAGAAGGGTAACAAAGGGTAGCAGTGGAGCTCACTGGACATGGATGAAAGTCAACTATACAACTTGTGGGTACAGATGGGAGGGAGAGAATGGGAGAAAATGAAGGAACAGAAAACACTATACATTACCTGACTCATATAATTTTAATCCCTCTGTACATCACCTCTATAATAGCAACCAAGTAAGTTAATAAAAAATGGCTGATTACATATCACATATCACACTGCAGTGAATGTAGATAAAATATAAATGTGGGGATATAACTAATATAAATTAAAAAGAAGTGACTGTAGAATGAGTAGAGGACTTAATATGGCTTAAGAATTTTTTTAAGGGGCTGGAAAGGTGGTTCAGTGGTAGACTGCTTGCCTTGCGTGCATGAGGCCCTGGGTTCAATTCTTCAGCCCCACATAAGCAGAAAAAGCCGGAAAAAGCACTGTGGCTCAAGTGGTATAGCTCTAGCCTTGAGCTGAAGAGCTGAGGGACAGCACCCAGGCCCAGAGTTCAGGCCCTACAACCGACCAAGAAAAAATAAAAAACAAATACATAAATAAAAGCATTGGCCTATTTAATTCCCTTATAAAAAAAAGAATTTTTTTAAAAAGACTAGAAAGTGTTGGTTTGTAGAGAAAACAGTGATCAGTGAAAAAGATGACGGAAGTCAATGAGAGCAGTAAACTGAAGTCGACACTTAACCCAAGCCAAATTTGGTCTGCAGGTAAGAAGCATGATAGTACAAGGCTGCTGTCTGGTTGAGCAAGCTCTATCACACATATATGAGCAGCTACCTCCCAAACAGTCCAGTTAAAAGAAGTCATTTTGACATGCAGATAACTGAGTCTAGACTCTAAGCCCTAGAGTTAGGAACTTGCCCAAAGGAAAAGATATGCCTTCAATTTTATATTAACTAGTTCATTTCAGGAAGTTTGCTGGTTTTAAACCTGACATATATCATGTATAGATATACTTACTTATGTAGCAATGTGCTTACCTGAACTAATTTAAACATTTCATCTTGCAGCATCTGTCTAGCCGCATCTGAAGAATCTGGTAACTGAGCCCCGTGCTCATGTGTCTGGGTCTTCCTAGGTGCTGGAACAGGTGTTTGTGAAGCAACATGGATTCCATTTGCTACCACAAGTGGGACTGAGGGAGGTTTATCTTTCAATGCAGAAACCTGAGCACTGTGTAAAGCATTTAAATAAATTTAAAAAAACAGTAATCAACAAAAAATAGCTGGATATCTGTTGCATGAATGTTTAATTCCTGCTGTTTTCTATCGATTGAAAGGTTATTCTAGTAGCTTCAGCAGCTCTCCTGTCCTACCCTGTTTCGCGTGACTGCCCACACAGTAGCCTACACCAGCCACACAGAGCGGTCTCTCCTTGTGGCATCTCCTTGTGATGGCTCATGCCTATAATCCAAGCTACTCAAGAGCCCCGCCATGAGTCCGTGTAGGCATCTGAATCTGAGAAGTGTGCAATGATTCTGATGAACTTTACATATTTAGGGATGTCTTTCACTAGATTAATCACCAATAGAAGTTAAGAAAAATGAGTAGCCGGGTGCTGGTGGCTCACGCTTGTAATCCTAGCTGAGATCTGAGGATCATGATTCAAAGCCACCCTAGGCAGGAAAAGTCCGTAAGACTCTTATCTTCAATAAAATACTCAGAAAACCAGAAGTAGTGCTGTGGCTCAGGTGGTAGAGCACTCGCCTTGAGCTGAAGAGCTGAGGGTCAGTGCCCTCAGAGTTCAAGCCCCACAACCAACAAGAAAGAAAGAAAGAAGGAAGGAAGGAAAGAAAGAAAGAGAAAGAGAAAGGAAGAAAGAGAAAGAAAAAGAGAGAAAGAGAGAGAGAGAAAGGAAGAAAGGAAAGAAAGGAAAGGAAGAAAGAAAGAAGAAAGGAAAGAAAGACAGGGAAGGGAATGGGAAGGGAAAAGGAAGGGGAGGGGAAGGGAAGGGGAAGGGGAGGGGGGAGGAGAAGGAGAAAGGGAAGGGAAAGGGAAAGGGAAAGGGAA